TTAATAGACAATCTTTAAAATAAAACTTAATGATCTCAATAATTATGATTCTTTGACTAATGATGCGAAGACTATTTCTTAGTTGAGTTTATAATTTTATATGTTAAGTGATATAGACATTTTGATTTGTTATGTCTTTTTTTTGTTACTTAGTTATTTAATTTTTTATAACTGTTGTAATAAATCATAATAGATAATGGGCATCGATTACAGATTCTGCTAATTATTCATTCTTATGCCGTTTAATTATTGCGATTTATGTAATCTCGCGTTGTTTAATTATTGCGATCTGTGCATGTATCGTGAACAAAAAACGCACATATCCAATAAATAATGTTTTAAATATGTAATAAATTATTTACAAAAAATATAATACTTAATGTAGATTTTTCTGCAAGGAACTAGATTTAATGTTAGCAATTATTAATATTTATCGACGTTTATCATGAAGAATCACGACTTTTTTTTTTTATAATCTTTATTTACCAGATTACTCTAATGAGAATTCACTGAAAGAATTCATTATAGAATGTTCAGAATTCAGTCTCATTATTAGATAAGAATATAAAATCCGTCAAATTTAAAATAGCGTTGTTATATTATAAATAAGCAACATATGACATCCTTGCATGTATTGGTTTATATAATATTGTATCAAAAATATTTAATATACGAGAAAGGAAAATAAATCAGAAAATTTTAAGATTTTATAAATAAACAAAATTAACATCGGGCAAACTAAAAGACAGTTAAATATTTGGATAAAAGAACACATAAACAGCATAAAATTACATACGAGTAATCAGAGCGTGATTAGCAAACATAGAAACAATTATATTTACACGATTTTAATTGGACAGCCTTTGATATTCTACATAAAGAAAAACATACGAAGAAAAGAGAGATTGCGGAAATGTTTTATATTAAAAAATTTAATGACACGATTAATCTACAAAATGACACCGAGAATTTGAATCCTATTTATGATAGAGTGATAAAGGCTGTTTAGTTTAGTTATTGTTTTACCATCTAGTTGGAAGGTTGAGTTGACACAAAGGTTGAGTTGGTGTTATACTTATGTTTGTTATGTGTATTCTAAATAGTTAAATTTAATTTTTATATCAGGTATATTGAAATTATTAAACTATCAATATATTGTCAAGCTTAAATTGCAATTATGTTTATATTTAATGATTATTGTATAAAAATTGATGTTCCATGATTAAATAATCCTTATAATTAGTGTATTTTTTGTAGACTTGATAAGAACCCAAAACAAGGGTGGAAACGTTGTCTTGATTTAATAATATGTCTTAGTAATAATAAAGATATTTTTATGCCAGTTGGGTCGTTAATTTTGTTTATTTATTTTATCATTCACTGGCGAGACAAAGATTTATTGATTATATTTAAGATTTTATATATATATATATATACATACATCAATATAATTTATTTTGAAAAAAGTTTTATCTTTTCAGAAGATATACAATGTCAGTTAAAAATTATAATTAATGTAACATATATATATATATATATATATATATATATGTTACATTAATTATAATTTTTAACTGACATTGTATATCTTCTGAAAAGATAAAACTTTTTCAAAATAAATTATATTGATGTATGTATATATATATATAAAATCTTAAATATAATCAATAAATCTTTGTCTCGCCAGTGAATGATAAAATAAATAAACAAAATTAACGACCCAACTGGCATAAAAATATCTTTATTATTACTAAGACATATTATTAAATCAAGATAACGTATATATGTTACATTAATTATGTATAAGCTGTTGATGCACATCTTGACTTTGTTGATTAATTATATAATATATTATTTAATTATGTTAATACACGATAATTTATTCTGAAAAAATTTTATCTTACATAGGTATATATATATATATATATATATATATATATACTTTATTCTGAAAAAATTATCGTGTATTAACATAATTAAATAATATATTATATAATTAATCAACAAAGTCAAGATGTGCATCAACAGCTTATACATAATTAATGTAACATATATAATTAATGTAATATATATATATATATATATATATATATATATATATATATATATATATATTATCTGCGCGCCTTTTATCAATGATACGGCGTGCACATGCTCAGTAAGTTTTTTCATGGAATAGCAAGCGAAATGGTACAGATAGAATTCGGTACTGTCAGATCACGATCTAAACTTGATTCGTAAACAGTTTTTTATTGATCGCTGTGTGTTACATACACGTATGCTTGCCGATTACAATGCATCCGATAAAATCATCTCTCACTTCTGTGATTGTGTGAATTAAATTCATGGTGGTTGATTGCAAAATTAGCAGTCGAATCGTGTCATCTTTGTTTTGTGATCAGTATTTGCTGTTTTCCTAATAAAATTATATAGGTAATCGTCTAGATGAAATTTTCTTAAATGAAAAAGTGTTATCTTGAAATATTAAATTATCTAGAGTAATGTTCAGGTAATTTGATTTAAGGACATAGCTCATAAAAATATATTTAATACAACAAACGATAAAAATTTGTAAATAAAAGTATGAATATATTTTTATATCTCCATTATAATTAACATTTTTAAATAATTGTGTTCACATAAGCAATCTTAAAACTTAAAAGTAATCTTAAAAGTAATATTATCTAGAAGTTATCTAGGTGAATCGCTATATAATTTCTCTTTTATTTAGATATATATTTGAATTCAAAATCATCTTCATCTTATCTAAGATAAATTTATATATTTTCCATCTCATCTTTATCTAGATAATTTTTAAATCATCTAAGCACAATACTGCTTGTGATGCATCTCTACGCTGCGTGATAAAAGATTCTCTTTTGTACAGAAGTCGTGCAGTTGCATAAAACTGAAGTTCAGTCGTATATTGCGTAATAGCACTTTGCCTTGAACACTTTATTATGCAGAATTTTTTATTAGTGTATATATAATCTTATCTTTGAAATTTTTATCCGACAAACTTTTGCTTAACCTTCGAGCCCTTATTGTTGTACAAAATATATAGAATCCGTTTTTGAATTTTGAATTAAATAATTAATTGAAAAATATTTATAGTAATTTTATTGTTTTCATTAAAATTTTTCAATGCTAACTCTAAATACGAAAAAAAGTTAATTACTATTCAAACCTATTAAATACAATTATGGAAAAAAATAATTAACATTGTTAATAATTAAAATTCTTTAAAAAATGAAAAAATATGGTTTGACCTAATAATTAGAACTGCATTTTACAGCGTAAAAGACATTGAAAAGTTGGTAATATATTATATAAAACCTTCAAACCGCGGGTGACCATAAAATATAACGGTTAAATAACATTCATTAAACAGATTCCACAAGTTATCTCATATAACTCATAAATCTTTCATCCGTATAATATTTCATTGCATCATTATCTACTTGATTTGCAATGATTTGTATATTCTACTTTTTCCATGGAATATTAATATGTATATATTAATAAAAACATTTTTGTCCACTCTTATTTCATACGTATGAAAAATCCGCGTTTCAACTTTCGATCTTTTATCTATATTCTATATAATCATATATACACATAAATGTTTTGTTGGAATAAGTTTTTTTATTTCTACATCTATTTCTACGCCTATAGAATTGTTATCTTAGCACGCACACTGGAAGGTTAAATAGCGGTCGTAAAAACTTGAGTTTTAATTCCTAATGAGATTTTTACAACGTTCTAAAAATAAACGCTAATTTACACATACACACACGTTGTACATTCGATAAAAAATCGCTATTAATTTTATTTCTTAGCTCTCAACTCCTAGCTTTTTTTTAGCATTGACATATCTGAATGCTCGGAAATCGGAGAAAAAGAACTAGACTTTCAATAAATTATCATTATTTTCTTCTAAACAGTTTAGAGTGAATGTTAATGTGCGTAATTTGCAACCTTGTTTCTTAAAATTTTTAATATACAGAGTGTCCGGTAACTAACGGACCAATGATTAAGGGCGGATTCTCTGGCCAATTTGGAGACGATTTTTCCTTAGCAAAAATGTTGAGAAGTCAATAATTTTCGAGTTATAAGCGATTGAAAAAAATGGGTTTTTTGAAAACTAAACGTTTTGGAGTTAAAAGTCTAACATAATTACAGTCTTCAGTTAATTTCAGGTAGAGTTTACTATAATAAAATTTTAATTTGAGGCTTAGTTATAAAGATACATAATGACAATTATTGGAAAGCTGTAAAAAATGATGACCTTTTTCGACATTTTTGCTGAGGAAAAATCGTTCCCAAATTGACCAAAGAATCCACTTGTAATCGTTGATCCGTTAGTTACCGGACACCCTGTATACGTAAAAAACTTGCAACACATAGTTCCATTTTTTGATATTTTTAATATATAACATAATCTATATAATAACGAATCTTCATAATATATGTGTAATACTAGCGGAAATTTAAATTGTACTAACTTTTTAATAGGTTTTAGTAAATTAAATTCAAATTTTGACGATAGCTCAAGCATCAAAGTGGAAACGATAATAATTTTTGTACTATTTTTGGAGATCTCTCACACATTTTTCAACAAGGCCAAAGTATACTAATTATATTAATTAACGTAACCAGTTTTTAAAGTAGAACACATGAAATAAAATGCAGAAAAACATTGCAGTAAAGTTGTATGCATAAAACTGTGCAAAAAGAATAAAGATTACGCATATTTCATTTAAGAGAGAGAGAGAGAGAGAGAGAGAGAGAGAAAGGGAGGGAAAAACACAACATATTATGCACACATTGCTATTACGCTTCTTAAGCATGCGCATTATATACTATGCTTAACACTTATACTTTGTAAATGACGTTTATCTTTTTAATCGTGAAAAGTCAATTCGCAACACTAGATACACGCGAGAACTCATCAGATAAGTGAGTCCGTTACATTAAACTGATAGTTGTGTTATGTGTATTTATGTATGTATATATATATATATGTATACACTACCGTCAAAAAGTTTGAGATCAAGGTAATAAATATAGATCACGGAAAAAATACAAAATAAAAATTGCACGTTAAGATATGACATTCCGCTGATTGTTTCTTTTTTATTGATAGCTATAAGATCATATTATTAACACCATAAAAGTAAAAATAATTTGCATTATTTTTGGAGTAGAAATGATAAATTTATAAATCTTAAAATTTTTGGACGGTAGTATATATATGTACATACATGTAAGTTCAAGTAGCACAAAGTGGGACAGACTTTCATAATAAGGATCATAAATATCGTAGCATCATTTCGTGATCGAATCTTGAATCAAGTAGAAGTGATCTTACATAATTTTGCTTTTTAAAAAGAAATCTTTTTAAACGATTTTTTCTTGAGGAAAGACTCTATTTTTTCTCTTCTTTTTTCTTTTAGAATATATATATTATATTGTATTTAATTATACTACATTTATTGTAAAGCATGATAAACTTTGTGATATATAATTAGTGGTGAAGCAGTGATACCTGGTATAAGTGTCAAATGTCTGCTGTTTGAATAATATTAAATATTTCGATGTAACAAATAGGTACCAAAATTTAGCATTTTTTCGAAATTTGCGCAAAATTAAAATGTGATTTAATAAAAAATTAAACTCATTAAACAAAGTACTAGGCGAATGTTTTATGATGTAGAATCAATGTTTCTTTACTATCTCGATTTTTTAAAGTATATTGTATAAAAGTGATGGAAAATATTTTTTTCGGAAGCAGAATTAACTGCGTATTCAATATTTTTCGTAATTCATAATTTTCGAGATTCATGACTGTTTTCATTAAACAGTGATAATGATGAAAATATAACGTGATAACGCGACGCTTATATCGTTGTGCAACCGTACATTATTACCAAAGATTAGAAATTTAAGTTCGAAAATCATATAATATCTCTCATCGTATTTTATAATATAAACTTATCATATACCTTATGATAAGCGTTTATATTAAAGTTTTATTAAAAAGAGAATAAATATACATTTTAAGCAGTAATTTTTTTTAATGATCTCATAAAATACGGCTGAATAATAAATATAAAACATTTGTCATTTTCTTAAATTTTTTGATTCGCTAATGAGCAGAGCATAAATTCCACATTTAAACGAGTGGCATAAATAATTGAGAAATAATTTCATTGACATTAATTTCAACTTTGATTGATAATATGTTTATTAATTTATATGTATATGTATATATCATACTTCATATTATCTCATCAATTATATGTTTATTAAATTATTCGAAAATATTTACCGATGTATATATGTGTGTGTGAATGTGTATGTGTAAGATTCCAATATAATTCTACTTTAACAAATATCCATAATAATTTAAGCATTAATATGAACTTAAACCGTATATGTTCACAGGATACAATGGACATAATCTCTTTGATATTGTGCGCCCTGTTCATTATCTTAATAATTCCGTCAACTATATCATTAATATATCGTCAGTATGTTATTCGACGGAAGATTAAAAATATATCTCAGTGCGGTGGATTTCCTTTCGGCGTGGCATTTGAAATGATAAAACTGAGCAGTTATGGTAAAGACCTTCGTGAATAAGAATATTGAATTTACATAATTTAAATTTTTAAATCAGTATAAATAATTACAATAAATATTAAATATCTGATTGTGTGCTTATTCACAGAACGCGTCCAATGGTTTAAGAAACGTATATTGCATTTTAAAGAAGGAATCTTCGTATATTGGATTGGTCTAAATCCGTTTATTAGTATCTATAAACCTGAATTTATAGAGGTGAGAATAAATCTTGCTAATATAAAGTATCGGTTATATGTATGTATATGATATTATTTGCGATGACAAATATACATATAAATGATATAGTTATAATTTGTTATTGTAAGAAAGTCAAGCTTTTTTGCGATAGTGGAATATAAAGAAACTTATAAACTTGTTATTAAAATTTCTCGTATTATTATTAAAAACTTTTTCAGTGCAATAATTACACGGAAAAAATAATTTTGTCAGCAATATTGTTCTTGCTATTGTATAAATATAAAAAATTAAATTTTATTATTATTATTATTTAATAATATAAAACTTCTTCTTTGGTGTAATTAAAAAATTTTTGCTGAATAAATTTATTTATAGAAATATAAAAATTTGCTGTTAAAGTAAAATAGTTTACACCTAATAAGTGCTTTTTGCAATTTATTACTTTGATGATTGTAGAATAGAAAGTAATTTATTATTTTAACAAACAATTTTGTTTGTGTTATATATATATATATATATATATATATATATATATGTTGTGTGTGTGTATCAAGATTTGACAACATTAATTTCAGCAAAGAAAATTAACATTCCGAACAAATCTTTCTTTTCGTTCTGTTTGTATATATTATATAATAAAAGATTTCTTTATTGCGAAACTGTAAAATATCGTGAGTTTGCAAATTTTGCTTTTTACATAAAACAAAAAATTTAAATGAGTCTTCTCAGATAAATAGTGCTAAGACACATTAAAAGACTATCTATGTATAATAAAAATAAGGAAATTTATTATTCAGAGATTAAAAAAACAATATCCACTATATTTTATTCGCGTAAAAAAATTAAAAATTTGAAAAAAATACATTTTATACATATAACGAATGTGACAAATTTTATTATACGCGCCATTATATTCTTTTTACTCATTTTGCAGACTATTTTGCCCAGCACCGTAAATATCGAGAAAGGAGAGACTTATAAGTTGTTACATTCTTGGTTAGGCATGGGACTTCTCACTTCTACAGGTAAACACACACATAAATTAACTCGTTTAAGTTTGTTCATATTATCTTATTAAAGATAAAAAGTAAAGTACAGTTTATATGTTTAGCATATAGTTTATATGTTTTTAATAATAATTTATGATTATTTATGATTATTCGCGAAAGTGTTTTAATTAAACAAATGATAAAAAGACAAAAGAAAAAATATTTTAATATAAATATACATAAATGCAAATATTTGTATATATGAACTGACATATAAGAAAAAATCTCTACTCTTTTGCACGTTTACCTTTGTATCCAGTTACTTATGTAACTGATTTTATATTGATATTAATTTTATATATATTCATATAAATTGGAGCGCTTTAGGAGCATTACTAACTTGTTTCTGAAACTTTTTAATTTATTTACATTATTGTGAATATTTAATAGCAAAATACAAGAAAAACAAAAGTAAAATGATAAACAAAATGTAATAATGTTTTCTCGTTTTTATTTGTACTATGCGTATTTATATTCATAATATTTCTTGATATGTTTAATATATTAATATATCGCTGATTGATATTACTTCAGGGAAACAATGGTTTCATGACAGAAAACTCATCGGGCCAACGTTTCATTTTAGTATATTGGATCAATTTGCTATAGTTATGTCTGAAAAATCAGAGATCCTAACAAAATGTCTTGAGAAGGAAGTAGCAAAAAATCCAGGGAAAGCTATCAATATTTTTCCGTTCTGTAACAATGTTGCTCTTGACGTCATATGTGGTAATATATCTATATATTTCATATTGTTGATTATAAATAATTTTTGAATATAAAAAAGTAATATCTCGGACATGGTATATTTTATTTTGTAGTAGCAAATTTTATTAATTATAAAATTAAGATTTAGAAAGACAGGGCCAACTATAACGAGCATATTAAATTAGTGAGAGATGTAATGTCAACACATAATTGATTTATTTCTTAGTAGATACAATGATAATAAAAATAATAAAACGTTTCGGCTGTTACCTCAGCCTTCTTCAGTAAATATAAAAACAATAAAATTCTTTTAAGAAAAAATTATGACATATTACGCATTAGAGTCTATTTTTTAATGAATATTTTGGTTTAATAAGTCGATGAATTTAAATTGGGTTACGCTTATAACATTTATTAAATTAGATATTTTTTCTAATCGGCTAACCATTTTTTAGTTAAGATGGTAAACTTTTTGATTATGTCAAAAAACATGTAAACGAGTTCCCTGTTGTTAGTAGAACAGGTTGACGGCCCATTCCACGTCATCAATTCTTTTGAACATTATTAGTTAAAATTATCGTCAGAACCGCTTGATATGAGAATTGAAAACAATTAGATGTTATCCAGCATCAAAAAGTTAGTCACCATCATCAAGGATATTTCAATTCTCATATCAAGCGGTTCTGACGATAATTTTAACTAATAATGTTCAAAAGAATTGATGACGTGGAATGGGCCGTCAACCTGTTCTACTAACAACAGGGAACTCGTTTACATGTTTTTTGACATAATCAAAAAGTTTACCATCTTAACTAAAAAATGGTTAGCCGATTAGAAAAAATATCTAATTTAATAAATGTTATAAGCGTAACCCAATTTAAATTCATCGACTTATTAAACCAAAATATTCATTAAAAAATAGACTCTAATGCGTAATATGTCATAATTTTTCTTAAAAGAATTTTTATTGTTTTTATATTTACTGAAGAAGGCTGAGGTAACAGCCGAAACGTTTTATTATTTTTATTATCATTGTATCTACTAAGAAATAAATCAATTATGTGTTGACATTACATCTCTCACTAATTTAATATGCTCGTTATAGTTGGCCCTGTCTTTCTAAATCTTAATTTTATAATATCACACGAGCCTTGTCTTTAAATATCTAATTGTTTTCCTTATTAAATTTATTAATTATGATATGAATAATAGAGACTCATCAAAAGTATTAAATTTAAATTTTGTTTAATTGGCATGTTTTTTTGTTATAATAATACATTGATTGCTTTATATCATTTATTTCGTTATCAAAGGTTTAAAATACGTTTATTGAAAAAATAAATTATTTTACTTCAAATTTATTTCTTTCACACAATCAAATTTAATCGGCACACAAAACTTTTTGTTGTGTCGGAAAAAATTAGTCTTACCTACATTATCAAATAATTGATTTTAACTATTCGACTTTATATTATTCACAAAAGTTATAAGTATCAACCTTTTTTTTTCTCTGCAATTTATAATGTAGCATACTTTGACGAGAAAGTTATGACAATATTAACAAGTTATTATTTTACAGAAACTGCAATGGGTGTGGATGTACGTGCTCAAGAAGTTGAAACCATGTATACCACAACAATACATAGGTCCGAAAAGTCATAAATTACATATTTTGTTAATAATAAAATAGTATAATTTAATAGTTTAATTACTATTAATTTATTAAGATTTTTTAAAGAATTAACAGCAAATTTTATATAATTAATTAAGTAACGTAATAGTATAATTAATTAATATAATAGTATAAATATGCTGTTATATCGGTCTTATATTTTAATCATACTTTTAGAAACTCTGTATTAATACTCAAACGACTATTTCAACCGTGGCTTTGGTCAGAATGGGCGTACAACTTAGTGCCTACAGGAAAAGAATATAAATCAGCGGTCAATAGACTACATAAATTCACGAATGAAGTACGCGCTAAACACTAATTCTGTATTCATTTATATTATTTTATTTAAATGAATTCAACAAGTTTACAACGGTTGAATAATAAATTTCAGGTAATAAGTAAGAAAAAGATTGCACGAGAATCGCAAAACGGTTTCGTCAAATCAGAAAACGAGGATGAAGATGAAGATATTGATATGAGTACGCTTATTAAATTATTGTTATTCAAATGTTTTGGAGGATTGTGTGAATATATTTTGAATTATTCTTGTGAAATTTATTGCGTTAGGGAAACGGAAGAGGAAAGCTTTTCTGGATCTGTTACTAGATCAGAATGAGAAAGACGAAGCTCCGTTAACCGATGATGAAGTAAGAGCACAAGTCGACACATTCATGTTCGAGGTGAGAGAAAAGTCTTTACAATTTCATACAAAATTTCGTCTTATTAATATGTAATGTAGTTATAAATAATATTTTTATTATGAATAATTATTAATAAAAATTGAATATAATGATACAGGGTCACGATACAACTGCGGTTGCAATAACTTGGACGCTCTTTCTTTTGGGCAATAATCTCGAGCAACAAGAAAAAGTTCACCAAGAACTCGATGAAGTTTTTCAAGATTCTGAAACACCAGCCACCGTAAAGGAGCTATCGCAATTAAAATACCTCGAGAGAGTCATAAAGGAAACGCTCAGAATATTCCCAAGTGTGCCCTTTATCTTTAGAAAATTAACGGAAGATGTAAAAATAGGTATGATGACTTCTATTAATATATATTCTCACTTCTATTAATATTAATACATTAAAAAAAATTTATTGAATTTGAATAAATATTTATTTCAATACTGTCTAATAATATATCTTATATCTTTTCAAAACATGAATATTTATTTGTTTGAAATAAAATAATTCATTAGGCGGCATTGAAATAAATATTTATTCAAATTCAATAAATTTTTGTTCAGTGTACTTGTATTAATATTAATATCAAGATAAAGGAGATAGGAATATCTTAAGATATTCACATTAATATGCGCAATGTAAAATTAATGCTCACTTTAGATGATCTCTAATTTGCGACAAAATTCAGGATAAAGTTATATTTATTGTTTTATACTCCGCGTGTAAAATTATTTATTTTGATTATAAAACTCCATCACGAATTATATCCAAACTGTCTAAAATAGATTTAAAATTATATTGTGAGTTTTACACAAAAGCTTGTTTTTTTACATCACGAAACATCTATATTAAAAAAGTTTATCGACATGAAATTTTATATGACAGAATGCAGTCTATATATAATCTATAACAATTTGTTTTATTTTAGGTGATTATACGCTCCCGAAAGATACTACGGTTTCAATTGAAATCCTATTCACCCAAACAAATCCGGAAGTTTGGCCAGATCCAGAGAAGTTCGATCCAGATCGCTTCCTTCCGGAGAATGTGAGAAATAGGAATCCATATGCTTATATTCCGTTCAGCGCTGGACCGAGAAACTGTATCGGCCAAAGGTTTGCTTTACTCGAAGAGAAAACGATATTAACAGCTTTTTGAGAAAATGGAGAGTGAAAAGTGTAAAAAAGACAGCTGATATTCAATATGGATCCGCTCTTATTTTACGACCATTCGAAGAAATAATGATGTATTTAACGCCAAAAAATAATCAATTCATACTAACAAAAATATCATATTTCTCTTCGTGTGTAATTATAATATATTTCTCGATAAAACGGAATTCAAATATTTTCATCCTTTTGTTATTAATTGTCATTGAGGATATTTATATATGTTTTATGTACTTATTATATATATACTTTTATATACTTATATTTTTAATACATGTATGGTGATTGATATATGAGACATATCCTAAGTAGCAAGCGTAGATCATTTTATATCGAATAACGACAAAATGACGGCATAATGATGTCAATTTAGTACTTGGAATGTGTTTAAAAATCATGAAACATGAATCAAACATATGCGTTATATTATATTCCATAATTCAGAGTTAAAAAAAACATAATAAATAATTTACAAACATTTATTTCCTATGTTGATTATTTCAATTGCAAAATATCAAATATACAGAGTGTATATTTAAATAAGTGCGAACACTTTTAGGAGATATGATTCTTTGTTGAAAATTAAGAGATGTTTTTTATATAAACACATTTTCTTATATCCCTCTTTAATAAGATGTTACACTTTCCTAAAGAGTGAGATAAAGATAAATTAAAAAATGAATTCTGGTGGATACTTTCAGTTTCATTTTTTAAATTTGTATATAAAATTTGAGAAAAAAACAAAACTTAATTTTTACCCCCCTTTTTAGAAAAGTGTGTGATACCTCAAGAAGGGAATATAAAAAAACCCCTCTTAATTTTCGACAAAAAATTATCTAAAATTTTTCGCACTTATTTAGATACACCTTATATATATATATATATATATATATATATATATATATATATATAATATAATATCACAAAAATATGATAACCATGATATAAAAAACTATAAACAAAAAAATGGGACTAAACAGTCACATTTCTCTCTTTCTTTGAAAATCTATTTTATTTTGTACATTATTGTCAGATCTTGCAATGCGGCGAGAATTCAAGAATAATAGATAATTAATCTGCTGCTCATTATTTATACGCAAGTAAATATATCTATAAGCAACGCGTTGTGGTTATGGGTCATATATCGTAGGCTGTCCCTCAAAAAAATCGCGATATATATATATATATATATATATGTATAGCCGATAAATCGATGCACCGAAGTAAACGCGGTCCAATTATAATTAAGCAATTGAGCTTACCTTGATAATCTGACGATTAATAGACATCCAACGATCCGATATGATCCTTCTGCACTCTGCGTTGCCGCCACGTTATATCGATCGCGATTATCGATCTAACTGCATCTCGTATGCGTATCACTCTGCAAATATTTACAAATTATTTACAACATATCCGCGCACATGCACTTATCACTTATCACTTTATATATTTCTTATCGCACACGTTTTGTATACACGCATTTACGCACATATATCTACCTGTAAATCGAGATTGAAAATTGACTTGTCAATTGGTGAGCCTGACGCCGCGCCGCGGCGGAGTTCGCGCTGTCGCCACGCGGAGGCTCCACTATCGATATTCGGAGTTCTCCCGTCACTCCCGAACGCACAGCTGGTCGGTGGGCGAAATCAGCGACGAGCGACGACACGTTCTACGTAATAAACGAGGGAGTAACGATGCGACAGAACGCGTGACGAGCTTGAGTAGACACAGAGACGTGCACTTGTCGCTAAACACCGTCCGTCCGCGTGCATCGGAAAGGAAAGAATTATGCAATTGCGTTCGACACACCCGTGTTACCGAAGGATCAGATGAAGGAGGCTGCCTTTCCTTTTACTTTCTCGACGTCTTGAATCTGCGATCAGAATGGTTTCCCTCACGCGAATCTCTTTCGTTACACTTCTCTATGGTAAGTGTGGCTCCCGGTCACACACATATCGAAATGTTACTCTTGTCCGTAGAAAATAATACATACGTTATAGTATTTGATCGTTTTGCGCGCGACGTAATCTCGCACCTCGGCCGATCGATAACGAGATATTCGCTTGACATTTCTAATCTCTAATTTGATTACCATTTATACAGAAAATTTATCATTTATAAATGCATGTAGAAAATGTATGTATATATATATTTTTTTTGCATTTCAATTTTATAATGTGAATATGAATTTATAAAAACATTTGGTAAATTCTATTTGCCAATCAAATTTAATTAGACATTTAATTCAATTTGAATAACTCAATTTATTCATATGATCTTATGTAAGAAATATCTTTGCTTTTTTTATCAATTTCAAATTAATATAATACTTTAAACATTATGTTGAATTTTATCTGTATAACAGATGTATACCTTGATTTCTCATCGGAACTTTGTTTCGCACCTAATATTTCTCAACAACGAGTAATATTTCCAAATGCAAGCACTTGTTATCGTTTAATTACATTTTAGCTTTTTCAGCAATTTTGATGCACACGGCAGGCTCGCGCGTGCTCGAATTGAGTGATAGGTAAGTAATCTGGCAATATCATATACCGTTTCGATTTTTCCCATTATAAAAGGAGACCTTAACTAATATCTGCCTCTTGTAGATTTCTGGATATACACAAAGATGGACAGTGGCTTGTCATGGTATGTTTTCTCTTTTATACAAAACATTTTATATATTCAAAATATATAACTATTTTCATTTTTTATAGATGTATGCGCCATGGTGTGCACATTGCAAGAGATTGGAACCAGTTTGGTCTCATGTCGCTCAACATTTGCATGCAACATCAATACGAGTGGGACGTGTGGATTGTACTAGATTTACCAGTGTGGCGACTTCATTCAAAATTAAAGGATTTCCTACCATTCTATTGTAAGTGCGTCTTTCTCTCTGTGATCTCTGAAATACTAATATCTTTGATAATATCTTCCATTTACAGTTTAAAGGGTGATCAAGAACATGTATATCACGGTGACAGAACTAGAGATGAAATAGTCAAATTTGCTTTAAGATTAAGCGGTCCCCCTGTGCAAGAGGTAACAAGACCTCAGAGCTTTGATATTATAAAAAGAGATCGGGATCTCTATTTCTTATACGTAGGCAGTAGATCTGGAGCTTTCTGGGTAAGCTCTTTTCACAATTTTATTGTAAATTTTTATAAAGGCAATTTAAAAAGTTCAATTTTTAATTATATTGTCTAAATGCATTAAATAAATGCAGGAACTTTATCACAAGACTGCAAATGTATTTCAAGCACATGCATTCTTTTATCAATCTCACCCGAACGTCGTAAATAAACACGCGCCTGTAGAAAATGTTCCGGCAGTATTCGTGTACAAAGAAAGCTCGCATTATAATTTCACTGGTAAGAGTTAATCTGATAATAAGAGAAAATGATGTTTATTATCTATAATCAAAATACTTAATTCGATTTGTAGGACACAACTTGAGTGACATAGAAAAAATGAACGAGACGCTTTACAAATGGGTGAACGCGGAACGTTTCCCGACATTTCCGAAAGTGACCAGAGGAAATATAAATCAATTATTCTTAACAAATAAAAATCTCGTTTTAGCGGTAGTGGAAGAAAATCAGTTAGAAGAGGTCGCGCCCGATATGCTGGAATTTAGAGACATGGTCGAGTCTGTGATTAAGAGCAAACGAGAGAAATATCACGAGTATGTTTACTTGCCAGCACATATTTCGATATAGAAGCACTGGATATAAATTAATATCACAATTGTATTCAGTCATTTTCAGTTTGGTTGGATAGCTAGTCCCGATCTAGTCAATAGCATAGCGATGATGGTACTACCTTTACCGAGCTTAATTGTGATAAACACAACTACTAATCACCATCACATTCCCGATGATGAAACAGAGAAACTGACTCCGTACGTGATAGAATTGTTCCTAGAGCAGATTCGCAATGAAAGTGCTCCGGTACATATCTTTTAATTAATTCTATTAAAAGAATATATTAACAGTAAGAATCTATTATAATTATTGATAAATTTTCAGCGATACGGTGGAAACACTTGGATAGTACGTAGTTATAGAACTTGGTTTGAATTGAAAACTACTCTGGCTTCAATGTGGAAGGGCAATCCTATCTTAATGACTGTATTGGTCGGTTTACCAGTTGGATTCTTGTCATTAATATGTTATGGTATTTGCTGTCCAGATATCTTGGACGCGAATGATGAAGAAGATGGTATAATTTTTTACATGATGAAAAGAAACTAGTTTTTATATAGAAATAAACATAACATATGTAATCGTTCTTGTGTTCTTTTCAGAAAATGCTGGAGCGAGCCATATGAAGAATGATTAAAAATCATTATGGATATATATTATACAGAGAATTTCGAGATGCAATTTTTTTATTATATGTAGCGTACATGAACGCTTATGATTATGTAATATGTTCTTAAGAAAAATTTGCCAAAACAGTTTTAAGATTGTGAGAGTTTTTATACAATAATGTATATCGCTAACATTCCATATATTTTTATTTTTGGTAAACTCATCTTTGTGTATATGTACTAATTTCTTTTATGATTGTGTTGTAAAAAAAAATCCCGAGACAATACACCGAGTTAAGTGAGTATGTACATACTCGGAAAAATTTGTCTTTTAACAAAAAGCTTTAAAAAAAAGAGAATATAAGATATATCAAAAATTTGTATATTAGACACGACTGTTCACGTAATTTGTGAAAGATTGTATTAAGTATCAAACATTGTTTTTTTTATATATATATATGGATGAAATAACGTTAATATATTTAGCATCATGTAAGTTGTGCGAAATTGTTGTTTGTTGTATTGTGTAGACTGCAAGCGTGATTGTGTGATTTCTTTTCGAGAAGGAAAAATAATCTCTTGCGTGTGTTAGGCGTTTGCTGAATGTATATTTATATGTATCGAATAAAAAAAATATAAACTAAACATTTCTGTCGTGTTACTATTATTACAGAAGGATATATGAAATATTTTATCGTAAGATGGGAGATAATGTTGGACAATTTTCTCTTATATCTATATCAAAATCTGCCATATTGGCATTAGTAACTTTTATTTTTATAGCATAAAAGTAAAACACAACTAAGCATAAAAATAATGTGTATTGTAACTGTAAAAGGTTACCTTTAACTGCATACACAAATTGAGAGTAAGTTTCCCAATCAAAGTAACATATCGGATATAAAATTTGTACATTTGCTACAAATCCATATCATCATCTGAATCCAAAGCTGCTCTTCTTCTATCAAACTGAAAAGATAAAATAAAGTTTTAATATTGTCACTTTAGATTACATTATTAGATGCATATTTAAATTACACTAACTTTGACAGTTGTTTTCCTTTGCGTTTGTTGATTTAAACTCTCAAGTAAATTAATTAATTGTTGCTCTCCAAGTTTCCCGGGTAGTTGACGATTTTGTGCCATATTCAGAATCATTTCTTCTACCATTTTTCCTTTCTCTGGTTTCCCAAGACAAAGTGTGTTTACTATCAACATATATATACATTATTAACTAACGTACCTGTATATTACATATATCTGTCAATTATATAGAATTGACACTGGCAAAATAGAAGGTACATGATGTAATCTATATGATCTTACATCTTGCTCTAGCTGACTGATCCAATACTTGAGTCAATATAGTATGTTTCATCTCTTCCATGCGTTGCATCTTTTCCTCCATCGCTTGTTTATTGTCGGCATTGTTACCCTAGAATAATAAATATATACATATATACACATATATATATATATATATATATATGTATGTGAGTAATTTTTTATTTTAAATTCTCTCTTGTCAAATATAAAACAGTATCCTATACTTAACCTCGATGTTACATATTTTATGTATATAAATGTTATATTTAAGTAATTATCAAAAAGAATGAATAGCATATCCAATTAAAATATTTTTCAGCTATAAATTTAACTGCAGAATTTCATAACAATTACCTTATATTGGGATTGCAACTGCATCAAACGTTGCTGTCGTATTGCTTCAAGTTCGGGATCTGACATATTTACGCTTTTCGTATTCTTTTGTTAAATTTTCTAGATTCTAAAATCAAACTGCGGCGGTTTAATTACGGCTGTTAAATCACTTAATTCTTCTTAAACTTTCGTGAACATTCGTGAACGTCATACGTTCAATATGCATACGTAAATTTATATATAGCCTTGCATCTTCACTATAGATTTGCCCGTTTTACTTGTACCTTCTACACTCAATTTTTTGTTTTTTTCCTTCTCTTCGCAACCTCGAAGATATGATTTTATCTCATTTCTTAGACATAAGATTTGTTAAATATATTTGATTGCAAAATTATAAAATTGTGAACAATTTCAGAAAAATTATTTATTATTATTCCGAGTAATGCTAATTGTTCCTGTAACATCCCGGACTGCACTTTTGCTTTATTTATATCTTATATTATTTATATCTAGATAGATCCAGAGAAAGAAATTAAACTTAAAAAGGATAAATGTGACAAATTCTATTATATTAAATTATTCATCGAAAGAGATAATTTTTTATTTTCTAAATAAATAATACATAGTGATGTCATGACAGGCACTATATATGCACACTTGAAGAGTGCACTTGGAAAGTGCCAAAGTGCTAAACTTCAGACTTCAGGCAAGAGCAGAAATATGTATACGATACATATTGCGAGTATAATACACCGGCATATTTCCTTATGTTATGGTAAGTTTGATACGCATATTTATTTTTCTTTTCAGAAAATAATATCAGTTCTCTCTCTAATAACGTGTTCTGATTTTTTAATTTTTTAAAATATTGTAGAGACGATTTTTGAACAATATATTTCTCTCATGAATGCAGGGATGCCGGTTTAGAGATTCGAAGCAATATTTCGCTTTGATGTTTGAATATCCGATTTATTTTCCGATTAATTTTATCTCAAATATGTTTTTTGCACTCTATCTCCGCGACATTTCTCCTGTATCGCGAAACGACGCGATGATTGGACGACGAACGACGCGAACGCGAGGTTGATTGGTTGTTTCCGGTAGCACCCGTCAGTGCGAAATGTCAGACGACGTGGCCGGTGATGGAACATGGTAGGCTGCGCGAATAAAGCGGCGATATTATTCTCCGGCGCTTTCGACATGTTATGCAGTGAAGGCCGATAAAGCGGGCGTATCGAGTTAAGTACGTTTTATCTGTGTTTCAACGTCGCTTCGAGCCCCTTGCACGACGTTGCAACATGGGTCTGTGCAAGTGTCCGAAAAGAAGGGTAACGAATCAATTTTGTTTTGAGCATCGCGTCAATGTATGCGAGCATTGCATGGTCACGAGTCATCCGAAGGTACGTATTTTCATTTACTAATTTTTTCTTTATTTCGTAGAGATACATGTTTGACGAATAATAAAGTGTTCTATTATATGAGTGTTCTATTTTGTATGATATTAATGTACATGTGCTTTGCAGTGTATAGTACAGTCGTATTTGTTATGGCTCCATGATCATGACTACAATCCAGTTTGTACATTATGTGCTGGGAAATTGAGCGATGGCGATTGCGTGAGACTGACATGTTATCACATGTATCATTGGGTATGCTTGGACCAATATGCCAGGGATTTACCGGCAACCACAGCACCAGCTGGATATACTTGTCCTACATGTCGAGTGTGTATCTTTCCGCAATCCAAACTGGTGTCACCAGTCGCGGATGTTCTCAGGGAAAAATTGGCCACAGTGAATTGGGCTCGGGCTGGTCTTGGTTTACCATTGGTATTTATTGAGTTAATTTTCTTACGAGCACCAGAAAATGTCCTCTGTTATATGTATAATATGCTTTTTTTTTCTTTACAGTTAAGTGAAGACAGAGAACAGAAACTCGAACAAGAACGTCCTTCGATATCAGTAGCAAGCACCATGTTCCAAAATCATACGGTAGCTACGCCAGCGACTCCTACAGTTGCTATGTCTCGCACAAGTAGTACCATCAATTCAAATTCCACTGTTAGCAATGTACATGCAGGTAATCAGAAGCACGGTCCACCTTATTCGGTCGTAAATATTGAATCGTCTCTTGGATTATCCACTTCGGCATCTAGAAAGGTGTGCGAAGCTTACGACGATCCGAAAGATATGTCCTTTGATCACGATGAGAACAAGTACCAGCGAAAATCCGCCATAGAATGGTTCCTAAGATGGTGGAAGCTAATATCAAGAGCGCCAGTACGACGGAAAACCGCGGGATCTCTGTACAAGAGATATGCCATAGTAACTGTTATTGGTATATTATTCTTCGTTGGGATTATTCTGCTTTTTTCATGGCTGGGCAGAATGGCGACGGATGGTGATCCGAGCTTCAACGTAATGGCAAATCCTAATGTGAAGCTTGGCGAACAGTCTGTTTAATATTATATATATATAATCACGAGTGCGATAGCAATCGTCATGTAAACCGACCCCAAAAGTGCGAAAAATGTGGCAATGACGATATATACAAGTGCGGGAGAAGCGCAAAATGCAATTGCAAGATATGCAAATCGTAATTTTATAGGGACAGTAGGACATATCTAGTGTAAGTTATAATGTATGTAATATTTGTTAATTTTTATGTAAATTATATCACATATTAAAGTTGTATATTTAAATCTGTAAAGGTTTCTCGATTTATAAACTACGAAATTATCACAAGCAAAAATTGTATCACATAAAAACTTACTTATCCTATCCATATATTATATAAAACTGAGGAATGCATGCTACATTATGTGTATGTACATGTCTGTATGAGTGTGTATTTTATAATGCATAAACGTACGTCTTTTTCTAATTTGCTATGCTATAAAATGTCATATTTTGTATAATACATATATGTATTATATTTTGTATATATATATATTTATATATTTCGTATTTTATAATTAATTATTATTCTTCGTACATTTGTGTTTTTACTTTTGATATTGCACAATATAAATAAGTAATTAGCTTATTTTCTTGCTTGACAATATTCGTCTTTGTATAAAAGATCTTTTTTAAAAGCTTGATATTCTCACAATCAGAAATAACTAAATTTCTTATATCTCTCCAAGACACAAATGTAAAAAAGAGAAGCACAATGTATTCAGTACACTCTCTATGATGTGGCTTATTGAAATTCAAATGAAGCGAGTCGAATCCTTATAAACATCTCCCATGAAATATTAAAATGCTTACAACCGCGCACGCATAAGATGGTTTATCGGTGCTTTTACATTTCTTTTAGCATGGTCGTTTATTCCGAATAAGTAATTTTTATTTTTTAGCAAAATTAAATTGTATTTTATAAAATCTTGAAGTTATTTATATTCTTTATTATTATAATAGCAAATCTAATAAGATTTTAATGCTTCAATAGAATGATGATTGTGACTATCAACAATAGTTAGAAAAAATAAAGACTGGATAATATAAACTGATAACAAAATATTAACATTAATTTATCTTTTTTATTAATTTATCTCTTAAATACTATTAATTTCTTCTCTTTCTTTAATAGTGCCGTCATGCGAAACAAAGATTTAGACCTTCGATCACTCGTCAATAAGTCAAAGCCGAATATCCTTATAGACTCCCAAGCATCCACATAGCGATATTCGACATGGACAAGTGAAAAATTTCTAATTATTACAAGGTCTCCACGTCGCGTATTCTATTTTGAAAAGCAGCGGGCCGGACGGCGCCGCCACGGAATGAGTTTTCATCAGGGGTCACATTTCTTCTCCGCGGTCTACAGGAGCCGGTCGAGCCGGTGATCGCACAGGATTACAGACTTTCCTCGTCCAGCGAACGTGGCGATACCAAATCCGATCGTCTCCCGCGCTTCCATACAAATTCTTGTGTAAGTATAAAAGAATAATCGATATTTCATTGATTTCAAATGTATAATTCGATATTTATTCATTTATGATGATATTTATGGGCATCCGCAGGATTTTTTCCAAGGAGGAGACATAATTAAAATATTTTCTGTTCTTTTAAAATTTTTTAAAAGAGTGATGGCAAAAAGACCTGTTCTTTCGCCTATTTTATAGGATCGAATTTTGGGACCTCAAATTTCAAACTTTTTTTATGTGAAATAGTACTATTATGATGAGACATTAATCCCAGAGATTTCAAGATAAGCATAGGCACGGTTCCTTATATAGATATGAAGAAATGAAACTGATAATTTCTGATAAAACTGACTAAAAATCATCATTTTCCTCTTGTATCTCCGGAACAGTGCCTCATCTTGAAATTTTCCTAGGATTAATATTTTATCTAGTATTGGCTAAAATTATATCACCTTTTGATTTTTTTCAGCATAACTTGTTTTAAAGTGTATGGATCTCTACTCGAATATAACATATTTTGAAGGACGATATATAACATATATCGAATTATAATTCAATGTTATACCAACTTTCAAAACATGTTATGATTTGATAAAGATTCGTTTACTTTAAAACATGTTTGCTGAAAAATCAAAAGGTGATATAATTTTGACCGGTATTGTATGCAAATAAATTCCAATATTAATTAAAAAAAGAACAAATGTTTAATTTTTTATTGATTCGAAGGAGGGTAAATGCCTCCTCTGCGGAGGCCTATGATGATATTTCTATTTCGAATTATTAAACGCAAATAAATTATTTATGAAAGTGATAGAGACCGGTTTGGGTTGTTTGATCTAATCTGAATTAAGTCTCGTATATCGGATGCGCAGGCATAATAGAGTATCCAGCTGCGTAAACTGAAGATGAACTCTGTGAAGGAAGTGTATCATAACAGATGGACTGCATGGTGGAGAAGAAATTCAACGTCCTTACAAGTCGCTGCAACGATTTCGTGCAATCTTGCATACCTCGTGAAGACTGATTACATGCGTACGGCCGCGGTGCTTTCGATGGTTTCACTGGGTAAGAGGATCCATTTGTATTCGCTTAGCTGGTTCGTTCGCTGACTCTGCTGAAATCGAAATCGAATGTATTTCTGCTGGTATTTCGAATTTTCTCCAACTCGATATTATGTAATTCAAAAAGATGAAGAGAATTTATATTCTACATTATCGAAATATTATGTATATATTTCCTTTTTTTGTATATTTAATGTTTATATAATATATACCTTATAAAAATCCCTAACAGCACAGAGACATCCAAAGGATAGTTTACATCCTCTGTATAGTCTCTGAATGTCTTTCGGACATGTGTGCTGTTAGGGATAAAATCGTAAATTTGAGATTTATTTGGGTACTTGATTTTACGACAATGTAAAGAGCTATAATAATTTCGCTAGTTTCTTGTAAGGGAAATTTTCATTAAATCGTTTTAAGAACGTTTAAATTAATTATTTCGTTAATTTATAATCTTTCAGTTTCGCGTATTTCAATGATAGATTTTTCTTCTTTGTTCATCGTTCCTCATCTTTTCAGGTGGTGCTACCTTATACTACATTTCTAAACGTCGATGGAAAATAAAGCCGCGAGATCTCATCGTTATAACCGGTTGCAATTCCGGTTTGGGCTACAGCCTAGCGATGCACTGTCGTGCTCAGGGCGCAACAGTTTTAGCCGGGGTACGTGAAGCAGGTATGGTGGTGAAACCCAACGCCGTCATCGAATCGTTGAAGAAAGAAGGTATCATCGTCCATCAGCTCGACATCACGAATAAAGAATCCGTTCAAGGATTTGGCGAAAAAGTCAAGCAACTGTCGAAGGAACGGAATTTGGGTGAGCAATATGTAATTTAAAAAAACCAGAACCATATATAAAATGAGAGAAAGTTTGCAGTCTATAAAACTTGGTTTCTTTATCAATTCACAGCCCTGCGTGCTCTGGTGAATAATGCGGGGGTAATGGTGTTTGGCGAATTTGAATGGCAGACGCAGGAACTCGCGGAGTATCAGATAAATGTCAATCTCCTCGGAACCATGAGCATCACAAAGGAGCTGATGCCGATCATACGGCAAAACGGTGGTAGAATTATCGTGGTATCCAGCCACTGTGCCGCCGATTCTTTGCCTGGTGTAAGTGTCTACGCAGCGACGAAAGCTGCTCTTCAAGCATGGGCCACCTCTCTTCGGGTAGAAGTCGGCAAATACGGCGTCAGTGTAGTTTCCTTTATACCCGGTCAGTATAAAAAATATTCAACATTGTACACTAAAAAAAATTGTTAACTAAATTGTTCAACTAAAAATTTTGTTAATTGAACTTGTAGGAATATTTAAATTAAAATCTAATATATTTAATCTATTAAAACGTGTATTTGACTTAAATACTAATATAGATTTAATTAACAAAATAATAATTTAGTGAACGGTTTAGTCAAGTGTTAACAATTTTTTTTTCATTGTATGTATAATTTTATCTTGAGAACAAAATTATTTGATTGTGCAAAATTATTGCGCCTGAACAAAGAGAGTGTTTATGAATAAATTTTTAAAATAAATATTATGTATTAGAAATCAGATTTTTTTGGAGAGAGAAAATAGTTTTTACTTTATTGTCGATTATAGTTTTTCTTTTTTCTTTCATTGCGAGTCTTTTGCGTTCGTCGATGATGATGGTTTCAAAATATAAAAAATCTGAAAAATTTTGTAAATAAAATTCACTCTCTTTGTGCAACAGTAGATATTAAGTTTTATATTAAAAAGTAATATCATGAAATTACAAAAGGGTTTATGAACAAATTTATTTAACAAATACTATGTATGAAAAATCAAATTTTTTGGAGAAAGAAAATATTTATTTTATTATCGATCAAAATTTTACTTTTTTTATTATTATTATTTGCGTTCGTCGACGATGATTGTTTCGAAATATTTAAAAAATCTGAAAAAGAACTTTGAATAAAATTCACTCTCTTTGTGTAACAATAGGTGGTTTTGTATCGGAAAGTAATATCATGCGACGACAACGGTTGCACTTTGACGAAATGGAACGACACATGTCGGATGAAGCGAAGCGATTTTACAATGACTATTTCACTCGATACACCGAGTATTTTTCCGGGGTAACGCTGTCATCCGGTAATCAGGACAATATAAAAGTCCTGTCGAATCCGGGAATCTACGAAACCTTCGACAGCGCTCTTCTCAATGTCCATCCTTCCACTGAGTATAGGTAAACACGATTTATCTCTCTAAAGTTATTTTCTTCTTTTGCAATATTATGCTAATAAAATTATTGTGCAAATAATGACACTCGAATAATGATAAGTTTCTTTATTATATCAAAAATGTTTGAGACATATTTTGTAGATAAAATTTATTCTGTGTACTTTGTTTTTTCAAAGATTTATATTTTGCTGTTTAAATTAAAAGAAATTGCGGGTAAATTTGACTACTGTTTTTGCGTAGATTATATTAAATATAATTACTATATATTATTTGCAGATGTGAACCGTGGAGATATTTCTTTTATCGCATATTGTTTAAAACAACACCAACGTGGATACGTGATCGATTGGTACAATCTTTCGTCAACGTGCCATCGTGGCAGATTAACAAATAATAAATCATTATTGTTATTATCTTATTAAATAGTTTTTACTTTTTCAACGTCCGATTTTTTTCAAGAGTTTTGCTCCATTTTAAAAAACTAATATATTTATAGCGATATAATTCGATACATAAATAAAATGGTAATAATAATTACAACATATTGTTTCTTGTCCTCAAAGTTGACTGTTGTTGCAAGAATAATATTTTACGAAATCGTCAAGTGAGTCATATCTATTATCATGCATTTCATCTGTAATATTACATATATTGTAGTTATACACTGTAGTTTTATCCGTTCGATTTTGATAAATGTGAACAATTTTGTTACACATTTATCAAAACCAATAATTACTTCATTGCTGACAGATTAAATATTTTACGAGTGCACGATACTACTGTGTGCGCTGACTGATAATTTCCGTAAACTTGCAACATCATGGACACAGGTGCTGATACTCGAGTGTTGCTTTGAATAAGATTTTTATTCGTTTCCGAGCTTATCAAGCTTTTAGGGCCAGGTGTTCGATTAGATGTTATCGGGCGAATATATATATAGCCGCCTGTCGCAAATCGAAAAGTTACATCGTCTGTCAATTCTTTCACGAGGAAACACCAGCATGAGAGCCTTCGTCTTTGGTAAATATATCATTTTTTATTGTTCATCTTTAATTCTTATCTCCGAAAATTGCAGAATATTTGATTGTAACGTTTGACGTATGTGTAGCTTGCATAATTGCCGCATTCTGCGTCACGGCGTCTCTACAGGACACCCCGTATTATTCGTGCTCCGGTGAACCTTCGCCCTTGGCATTAAGGATAGACGGATGTGACAGTTCTCCTTGCATCATCTACAAAGGCACCACTTTAACCGCGCAATGGGACTTTGCCGCTGGTAAGTTAATAGAGCGTATATTAAAAAATGTGTATGTGTATGGACATATATAAAATTAAAGTTTAAAGTATTAAATTCAGTGTTAAGGCTCTTGGCTGCTCGCCGACCATGTTGAAATCGTCGACATCAGAAGCGAGAAAACACATGCTAAACAATTCTTGCGTGCTATTTTTAAGTAAAAACGATTTCGATGAAACATTATTTCGGATAGCTTTAACACACTTGTAAAACAATCTTTTTCCCTTTATAATAAATAATCAATCAACAGTTGTAAAATCTGATATTATTATCATTTTACGGTTGTTGATTAACTGTTAAGAGAAAAAATATTTTCGAGCTATTTTACAAGTGCGCCAAAAAGAGATTTGTAGTGTTCTTCATCAAAATATATCTTTTTATTTAAAAATGGCACGCAAGAATTTTCAGCGTATTTTAGAGAGCTTTAAATTCGGTCAGCAAACACCGATATATAATTGTTACATTATTGCTATAATAAAACGGAATATAACAGGTAATATAATGTGTACGTTACATGTAACAACCATGTTAGTTGTAATTTCCCACTCATAGATGTAACATTTTAATATAACTTATATTACATTGTAGTTATATTGTCATTATATCCAAGATAGCACTGACTTATCAATACATTAATGTGCTATTTGGTAATGTTACATCTATGAGTGGAAAACAACATATACGTTACATGTAACATGCTTAAGTATATAACATTTATATACTGTGTTTGCTGGTCAGTATTAAATTCTTAATAAATTAGAAATAAAAGATATAATGAAAAATTAAGCAAAATATTTCACATACACACACACTCACGGTTAAATATATCCATTCATATTGATTATTGTCAAGCAATGTAACATATCTAAATTCCTTGACACCTCCAACGAAAGATGAGATAGTCAGCCGACTTTTACCTTTTACGTTTTATTATGCAGTTAACGATGTGAAAGAATTGAAACCGAGCGTAATAGTAACGCTATTGGGCAACAAGATAACATATCCGTATCCCGAAAAGGATGCCTGCAAGTCCCTGGTAAGCGGCGAATGCCCGTTGAAGAAAGGTGCAAAGGCCACGTATAATCTTGAGATGCCAATAGATAAAAGTCTACCGTCTGTGAGTCTGAATATCGAATTCGCCCTAGTCGACGACAAGAAGGAAGTGCAGGTGTGCTTTAGTGTGGACGCAAAGGTGACCACCAAATAAGGCTGTTTCTCTCTCATCGAGATTATGACACGATTATGATAACAAAGCATATATCACGAAGTAATTCTGTTCCGCTATCTTATTTTTCCTACAATGTGTCTGAATTGTATCTAAAATCGAGTGTGTTTAATATTTTTCAATTTTTTACGTTCCGGGATACATGCGCGAGCTATCGAGATGAAATGGATGAGCATTTAATTATAAGATTGCGCGAGATCTCTTTCTCCTATATATGCGAGGTTCAAAAAACAAAATTAAAATGATTTGGCTGTAAAATTCTTGGTAGCAATATTTATCTGATATTATGATGTGATAAACCGCAATGATTAGAATATCAAGCGACTGTATCTTTACCCTCGATGTAACGAGATAACTGGCCAAGTAATTCTTTTTCTACCCATGAATTTTGAAATGGAAACAAAAACGAAAGTAAATAATTGATTAGACAGAATTACGATAAATTTGTTAAAAAGCTATAGAAACTATTATAATAATTTTAAGATTTGTAATTGAATGAAGTAGTCATTTAAAATAAAGTTTACGACTAATATGTTTGTTATGTATAGTAATATTTAATAACTGTACCCACATGCAGGGTTGTCGTTGGCTTTATTTAAAATGTGAGAAAGACAACATATTATTTTCTTAGCGAATAATATATTTTGTCGCATTCATCAATATAGAATAAGATCCTAGTAAGCAAAGCGTTGGCGATTTCTTTCTTCTGGCAATTTGACAGTAGATTTGATCAGAATAATATTGCGGCAGATTACGCGAAAAGGTCAACTGCATTAATCTCGTTTAAATTAGTAATGGAAATCGTGCGAATCGTATTTTGTGTTAGTGAATTTTCCGCTGATATTTTGCCAACAAAATCTGTAGCTCGTCAAAACATTTCGCAAAATTGTTCTAGACTCACAATCAGCTGTTTGGAATGTTTTGATTAAAGTCGGGAACTCTTTAAAAAAATCTCGAAAAAATCTAAAAATACATTTAACACGAACAGACCGAGATATCGACATTTTAATATCAGATACGTCATGTGTGTACATGGGGAAGGGGGCAAGAGGATGTATTTGCTCCCCCTCTTGGAATCATTAAAAAAAAAATGAAGTATTTGCTCCATCTTGTGAATAAAGACTGGAAATTATTTGCAATTTTAATTAATATTAAAAAATTGAATTAAAAAAATGAAGAAAAAATAAGAGACAAAAATGGTAATCGTCGGCCCTCCCTGGAAAAAAATGCTGTGTTTGTGTGTGTGTGTGTGTGAATAAATTCCGAAACCGCGGGCGTGGACCGCGACGTCTGCGCGCGAGTAAGAAAGAAGGAAAGAAAGAAAACGAAGAGCGAGAGAAGAGAGAAAGACACACATGTTGCGCCGGCATGGCATGGCAGGGCAGACGCGATCGACGTCGACGTCACATACGAAGCGCGGCGGCGATAACACGCAGGTAAAGATGGCGGGCGCGAGGGAAAATTAGCGTCGCAGTCGACTCGACATATACATCGTCATCGAGAGATCGTGGATCGGCGCGGTGACAGAGTGAAAGGGACACGTATTCGCGCCCGTTAGCAGCCGATCACGCCGTAAGCTCGTGCGGAGATTCCCCGCCGATTAGTAGTATTACGCGAGGAAGCGCGTCGCGCCGCGCGCAGTGACGTCACCGCGCCCCCACCTGTTTCCAGGGAGCAGGCTTCCCCACCAGGTCGCGCGCGCGCGCGTCCTCTGTCTCTCTTTCTCTCTTCGCTCGACGGGGAGTGAGCGCGTTTGCGTTTGGAACTCGCGCGGGAGCGGTTCGTTTTCGTCCTCTCGCGGAGCGAGTGAAGTGAGCCGAGAGTCGAGTTGCGCGCGATCGGTCCGCGCGTGTGCCACGAACGGAGGCCGTTTAGAACGGGTGTGCTTCTCTCGGTATAGTGTTATTATACACGGAAGATCGCGCGTCATCATCGTCGCAGGAAGATCGGCCCTTTCGCAGGGTGTTAGTGTGCAACACGCGCTGTGCCGCGAGACGCGCGCAGCAGGTAGCCGGAGCCAGATCGCGGACAGTCCGAGCGCCACCGGCTTGTTGTTGTCAAGATGGCGTCCAAGGGGAAGCTAGACGACGAGGTCAGTACTCTTGTGTTGCCTCGTGTTTCTTTTTCCCCTTCTCCCCCCGCCCCTCTCCCCCCCGGAGGGGTGACCCGGGGAACCGCGGGTCGCCTGGGAGACGAGCGAGAACGTCGTTTCCCGCGAAAGCGTCATCGGGGACCGAGAGCGTCGACGACGCGAGTCGCGAGCACTTGTTGGAGTATTATTATTCTTCGCCCGAGTTTTTTTTTTTTTTCTTTTTTTCTCGGCCACTTTTCGACTCGTCCACTTGGCGATTTCGTTCAAATTGGCATCGCTCGCGGCGCCATGCGTCGTCGCTCGCCGTCCTCGGGCAGGAACGTCGCGTTGTCCGGTGTAACCACGCCCTGCCTTCCGTAAATCCGTCCCCCGTCGTCGTTATTTCTCCGATACATATGTTTTTTTTTTTTTTTTTTTTTTTTTTTTAATTACAATAGAATAAAGATCCGTTTTTCCATTATAATCGAGAGTGGAATTTTTCAACTTGTTGGAAAGTTTTTTATCCGACAGGTAGGCTATATCTTCGTCTCCTTTTTTTTACAACTTATTTGAAAAAACATGAGAATATATTACCTGTCAGGTAAAACTTATCAAAAAGTCGGAACAACCGGCCTTAATTAGTCAAATTTGCAAAAAGATTAATGGAAACGGAAATTTTGTCTGCGCCTTGGCGATGATTAATAATGGTTGGATATATGATGACGAATTTTTTGACTCGGCAGCACACATGTGTGTCAATTGTTTCTCCTCTTCTATCTACGCGTAACTGTAGGGCTATAAATTACGTAATATTTACAATATACCAAGTGACAGAGAGGAGTGTGAATGAAAAATGTGTACCTGTCGAATAATTTTCTGTTGAACGTTTTACGCATTTTTGAGCAACATGTACCTTGGAAAATGTAAATATAACGGTACAGGTGTCACTGAACGGCATGACTCATGACAGTTACAGCCATTATCGAGGAGAGAAATCGTCGTATGATTATGGCGGATTTATGAGTCGCTGACACAGCGATTGTTTCAAGTTTCAAAAATATCGATATTCGCGAAGATAAAAATGTGGAATATGCTTTGAAAATACGTTTGTCGAAATAATATTTACGCAATATTTTACTTTTCCTAGAAAAGTTCATCTAAATAGTCTACATTGTAAAAAATTATAAAATTGCATAAATAATGAGTGTAAAATCATACGATAATGAAAATGTATACCTTTTATATTTATTATTTATGTAATTTTATATAATATATATTTTTATGTAATATTACATATTTTTTTACAGTATATACAAGTGATAAAATTAATTAAAAAAATGATAAGCAGGGCGGGTTTTGGAAATATTTTTCACACACACACACACACACACATATATATATATATTACGGCTAAATATGTAGAAAAATCTTTAGTTTAAATTCTCAAGCTATTTCTTTATTCACAAAAACAAAAAATGTATATAGAATATGCTTTGGAAATATGTTTATAAAAACAATATTTAACTTTTTACTCAATATTTAACTTTTTAAAGTTGATATAATCTATACAGGCACTGGAAAAAATTTATTAACTTACATTTAACTATATCTTTCAACTAAATTACTAATTTGTTAATTGAACATATATTAGTATTTAATTTAAATATTTTTATATGTTCAATACACAAAATAATATTTAGTTGAAGGATTTAGTCAAGTTAACCAATTTTTTTTTAGTGAATGACAAGATTCATAAAAAATAATAAGTAGGGTTTGGGGGATATTTTTCATATATATGTATGTATGTATATTAAATCGCGAATATTATGAATATGTTTGTAAAAACAATATTTACGCAATATTTAACTTTTCGAAGAAAAGTTAACATAAATAGTCTATCACTGTAAAAAATATGTAATACATTACATTTTTTTTTACATTGTATACAGGTGATAAAATTAATAGAAAAATAATAAGTAGGGCGGGTTTTGGGAATATTTTTCGCATATATATATCGCAGCTATTATATGTAAAAACCTTTAGTTAAAATTCTCAAGCTATTTCTGCTAACTTGCGTATTAAATCGCGTATATTATCGGTCACCGGAAAGAATACGCGGCTCTTCAAATAGATTGATCGCTCGATTAACGCGATGAACGTTCAAACGATAAAAGGCCAAGAATATTTTCTCGGGCATATTTATGCGAGCGACGGAAATATCTCTCTCTTTCTCGGCATCGATATTCACTCGTTAAGCGAACGTTAATTGCTATTATCGAGAGCGACCTTGTTGCAACGTGTGAAACAATATTTATGGAGGGGCCTCTTGAATGATTTACTTTGACGCGAAATCTTAATCCAAGCACGGTTTTTTTTCCTTTTTTTTTCTTTTTTTTTACGGAGTAACTCTACAAAATCACGTGGATAAGAACGATGAGGCTTCTCGATCGTCGAAGGTGGACGGAGGCGAAAGCGACGATCCTCTCTCTTTCGAGGAAAAAAAGCGCACGTGACATTGACTATGCAGGCACAACGAATGTGTCACTTCGAAAGCAATTAGTATGCTGGTCTTCCAAGAAAATTTCCTCGAGCCGATCGAATAGTCGAGAACGTTGCAATGTACACGTGGTATTGCGCAATCGAAGGGTTCTGCATCAACTGGTGAATTCAACTCGCGCCTTTTCAGTTCAACGACTCCAGAAATATATCGAGATATCTATAGTCTTTTGGTCTCCTCGTTTCGAATATCTTCGCATACTTTTACGACGGCTAGAATTTTCGAAAATATACATATTTTAATTTATTATATATATTATATATTATATTATATTATTAAAATATATTTTTTTATTTTTAAAAGATGCATTATGGATCTTTTTAATCTTCTAACTTAAATATTATTTATCGCTGGCAATTATCGCTATCTAGCTTCCGTCTTAAGAATAATTTAATCACTTTTCAAATTAATGAAATGATGAGTCATACAAGATTGTAAGGAATTAATCAATAAGTACCTGTTTGTACGGTCTATGCATACTTAAAACTATACTATATAAATTAATTTTTTGTCAGTATTAAATGTTGCTATTTCACGGTTCGTATATCGCGCGTTCGCCGTACGTTTTGCGATAAAAATATTAAACACCTATGCATGTCGCTACACATACATGTAATATATATCGCGTCGACATACACTAACGTAATTATAAAATTCGTGTAGGTTGCATATCGTGTGTCAAGCAACTTGGCATAACTGCATATATGTGAGATGCGGTTTTGCGTAACTGTTTGTTCGTGTGCGCGCGAAATATACTATATACTACATATTATCGCGGTTATACATTCCTCGAATATTTCATCTTTACCGGAAAACGTAACTTCTCTCTCGTGAAGCGTGAAGCGATACGATGGGACGATGTTATTTGCGGTATTTCGCCGCACATTGTGTATGCAGCCCGCGCATATCTCCGCTTTGTGCGACACGAATGCGCGCTGTACATCATTTTCAATCGATCAACTTCCGTTTTCGTCATTTTCATTTTTTATGCTTTTTTTTTTTTACAACAATTTCTTTATAATATCCGCGCCGGAACGGAAAGGAAATCTCGACTTTTATACGTTCTCAGACTTTAACGCTTCGAGCTTTGAAACACGAGAAAGCGAGTAAAATTTTTATATATATATATATATACATACAGGATTGGGCAGATACCTCGAAACAAAATATTTAAATACAAAATACAAGATACTGTTTGACATATTTAAATACTATTAAAAAAATTTTGATTTTGAAATATATTATTAAATACTAATTGTATTTAAATACATATTTATAAATACTTTTAAATACAATCAATTTTGAAATGTTTTGATTATATACTATATACTTAATATTAAAGTCATTATAAAAAGATTATCTACCATTATTTAAAAAATGAAATTTTTGAAATACTATAGCAATAATAGATAATTTTATTGTAATTACTTTGATATTAAGTATAATATAATTTAAAATAGATAATTTTATTGTAATTACTTTGATATTAAGTATAATATAGTCTGTTGGTAGAATTATATGAAAATAATATCAAAAGTAAGTTAATTTTAGCACTTTGAAAGATAAGTTTATTTATTTGAACTTTAAACTATAGATAAAGTAGTAATAATTAAAATAAATATATAATAGGATATATTATATTATATATGTATAATAGCATATAAATACATTTAAATTAAATAATTAATTACAAAATTCGAAATACTTGATTATTCGGTATTTAAATGATAGGTACATATTTAAATACATATCTCAGATCATGTAAGATACATATCTGCTCAACTCTATATATATTATATAGTATGTATAGGTGCCCCAGAAATCGCTATCTATAACTGGCAATTATCGATTCTTTGGCAAACTTTGAGCCAATTTTTGTCAAACTTTACACGTACACACACGTATAAAGTAGTTTGCGACTTTAAGTATCTTAAAGTCTTAAAGTAAGATATACTCTTGAAATCAATTTAAGCATAAAATTTCGTTACTCAACTCTATCTCATTTCTCTGAAACTTATAGATCAGAATCTTTCAACTTTCCGATCGATCGTATAGTTTTAGAAGCGTTGATAATAAAGCAGTCATTATTTCTTATCTCTGCTCCTAAAAATTCATATTAAAAAAATGGGTGTTAAAAAAAAGGTTACATATTTTGAGAGCAAGTAGTATTGGTCAAAATATAAAAAAGTTTAATAAACATAGGTCCTATAATTAATTAATTTATCTGTTTGAGCTTATTCTTTTTTTTTATTGATCCTTTACATTAGTAATGTTATTACAAAATGTTATCATAGTAAGTACTCTTTTGTTTACTATAATATAAAGATGACACGATCAATAAGAAAAAGATAATAAGCTCAAATAGAAAGGTACACTGAAAAAAATGTGTTAACTTGACTAAACCTTTCAACTAAATTACTATTTTGTTAAATCAACATATATCAGTATTTAAGTCAAATATACA